ATATAAAAAAAAAAATGGAAGACTGTACTGGAACAAAGAAAAGGGAAAAGGGATGAAGTTTTAAATATAAAATGAAACTTTAAGGCAACATTGGGTTTATTTACTGCCACTTATTCTTACACGATAGCCTTGATGTTCTGACCTGCACTAATAAAGTTCAGTATCATGAGTTGAGAGGAGGGGGGAAAAAAACTTGACTTGGGCTCCAGAAAGATTTTGATCTGATCCTGAAGTAGCCATGTATTTATTAGCGGTTCACCATGATGGTGTGCTTCTGTTAATACTGGGCTAGTTTTTTTTATGGGGGGGACAAAACCTGTTGTCTTTAACAGTAAGAGCTTGGAGTCTTTAAAGGGAACTGATATTAGCCTACTGCATAAGAATTTATTTATTTAAGCTAGCTGACATGATGTAAGCCTGAGCATCTTTCATAAAGAGGCTTCAGAAGAGGAGCAACGCTTATTGTGGCAAGCTGGCTTGAATCACAAATAAGGATCAAATGTTCATATACTAAAACCAGACTTGCAGAGATGCTGAGCACAGGTCATAGCTCACCACTGAAGACAACACAGGACAAAAATGTACTGCAGAGCGGATGGAAAGAAACTATAAAATGAACAGATTATTTCAACCCATTTAAAAACTGAAGATGTGGTTTTACTGATCAATGGAGCAAGACAACCATGCAAGAGCACTCTTCTGTCATTTGTCGAGCTGGACAGCGAATCAGTCCAATCACATAAAACTGCTGGTTTTTGGTTCAGTCTGTATTTAAATGGTGACATGATGAATCTACAGATTTTATTTATCAAACAGTAACTTGTAATGGTAAACTCAAATTGTCTGTTAGCAGTTCCTCAACCTCATTTTAACATGAAAATGTTATAGTGAGTTTGCAGGGCATGAATGAATCCTGGAATGGCCCACGTTTAAATGATATGGACTGTGTGCACTTCATTTTTTAATTTTTTTTTTTTTCTTTAACATGAATGAAATCACTGTTATTCTAGCAATAAGGCAGCTTTATTCTGACTGAAGAACAGATTAGGGAAGGGGTTACCTGTTGTTTAATTTTGCTAAGAACGTTGACTTGATACTTTTTGTCAAATTCTTGATTATAGTCAAACTCAATGCATCTCTCATATGGTTAATTCAGTGGTTTAGTGACTCAACCCGTTCAGATACCTTGTGGAAGAAAATGAGTTGGTTGTGTTCAAACCATAACATTGAGTTATATGAAATTAGGCATGCATACAGTGTGCTTAGCATCAGCCCTATTGGCTTTTGCATTTTTCCATCCATCCATGTTTTACATGATCTCTGCTCCTATGTGTGTATGTTGGGGTTTTTTGTTTTGTTTTGGGGGTTTTTCTTCAATTCATGCTGGTGTTTGTCCTCCTAACAACAATCCTTCACTACAGCCTCAGATTATGATGCTTTTGTTCATTTTCCTGTAGATAAGATGACTGTAATTTTCTATAACACTGAAGACAGAAAGATAAGGGAACATTATTTTTTCGTTTCTAAGATTTCTTCCATTTCATCCTGCCCCTGCCAGCTTTCAAATGTTTTCAAGCTGTGGGACTGACTATTAGGGTTTGTATCGCTAGTCAAGTCATCATTTGATTATTTAACTGGATGTTAAACTGTTATGCCGAAAATCAATTGACATGTACAGATCAGTTTTTGTTAGGATTATATTAAGTTTGATTTGATTGTACAGATCTGTTAGGAAAAAAAAAATAAAAGTTCTTGAAAGTGGTTTCAAATCGTCTGGAAGCGCCTCGTTTTCTGTTTTCTTGTAGTATAAATTGTTTATACTGCTTTGGCATCATCTCAGTGTAGTGGTTAACACACACTGAGCATGAATCACAAAGATAACCACCGTTGTGATATTCTTCATCTGAGGTCTAAGATTATGTCAAGCCAGCTAAGAAAATTTGGCTTTGTTGAACTTAGTTTGTTGTATACTTGAATGGAACTGATACCATTGACTGATTCCCACGCTCACCTAAATAATTCTGGGACAATATAATTTAGTTTATACAGTCCCAATCAAAAGTTTAAGACTTGAAAAGACATCTGAAAAATGGCAAAAAAAATATCATACTTTGCATGGTTGGAGCTTAAGGATCCACGTAGAGCTTCAGCATGTAACAAGAATAAATGGGAGTGAGAAAACATTTCTTGAGCATGAAATTTATTGAAAACGTTTAAATTGAAACAGGCTGTTTTACAGCTGATCAAAAGTTTAGGACCATGTGCCTTTAAAAGGCCAAATCAGTGCAAAAATGTGAATTCATTGTCATTTTCTGTCATGTAGTCACACTGTCAGGATGTTGTGATGGCAAAGGCAAAAAAGCTTTCCCTTTTTGAACGTGGTCGGGTTGCTGAACTGCAATAGCAGGGTCTCTCGCAACGCACCATCGTTGCTGAGGTGGGACACAGTAAGACAGTAATTTGGATCTCCAAAAGTGGATTCTGTTCATCTGGACGTAGTGTTTTCAGTGGGAGAAATGTTTTGTCACTCATCCAAGTGAGTTCTTCAGTCATTGAAGACTGAAAAAGCTACATCCAGATGAACAGAATCCACTTTTGGAGATTTACTTACCTGGATGATTGAGCATGCATCAAGAAAGTAATTTGGAATTTCTTAAATGATCCTGAAGGTTATGGAATAAAAAGGTCAAGCGGAAGACGCCAAAATTTCACCAGCACTGAGATGAGATGGAGGATCCACTTTGCTGTGTCAAGACACTGGCTGATCCTTAATCCAAATTAGGGCCTTGACTGGTGCCGACTGCAGCCCCATAGCCATCAGACAGCATCTGAGACCGAAAGGCTTCAAAAACATGAAACGTCTTCAAAGGCTTTGACTCCTTGAACGCCACAGAACTGACCGTTTGGACTTTGCACCAAACATGAGACATGAAAGGTGGAAGAAAGTTTTCAAATCAAATCAAATCAAATCACTTTTATTGTCACATCACATGTGCAGGCACACTGGCACAGCACATGCGAGTGAAATTCTTGTGTGCGAGCCCCACAAGCAACAGAGATGTGCAAACACAACAACACAAACGAGCAAAATACAAGAATGGCTACATCTGAAACTAATAAATATATGTACAATATATAATAGTATATGCATTTCTGGATGTGTATACTAAATATTTTCCTACGTGTGTGTGTGTGTATACACATTTTTACAAATTAAATAGTAAAAAAATAAAAATAAAAATAATAATAATAATAAAATATATAAAATATACAGAGTGAGACATGTGCAAAACAGTGGCATTACTGTACAGTATGGAGTGCATAATGTTAAAGTTCCAGTAGTGAAGGTGAGGTGTCTATGAAGTGTTCAGCAGTCTGATGGCCTGATGGAAGAAGCTGTCTCTCAGTCTGCTGGTTCAGGACCGGATGCTGCAGAACCTCCTTCCTGATGGAAGTAGTCTGAACAGTTTATGGCTGGGGTGACTGGAGTCCTTGATGATCCTCCCCGCTTTCCTCAGGCACCGCTTCCTGTAGATGTCTTGGAGGGAGGGAAGCTCACCTCCAATTATCCGTTCAGAGCACCGCACTACTCGCTGGAGAGCTTTGCAGTTGTAGGCGGTGCTGTTGCCATACCAGGTGGTGATGCATCCAGTGAGGATGCTCTCAATGGCGCAGTGATAGAAGGTCCTGAGGATGCGGGGGCTCATGCCGAATCTTTTCAGTCTCCTGTTTTATTCTCTGTTGAGGAAAATGTAACCTTGATGGTCCTGATGGTTTCCAAGGTTACTGGCATTACAAGCAAATCCCACCAAAGATGTTTTCTACACAACACAGTGGAGGGGGCGCCATAATGGTCTGGGTTGCTTTTTCTTCAGTGGAACAGTGGAGCTTCAGGAAGTGCGGGGGCATCAAACGGCCGCTAGCTATGAAGAGAACATCCCTCATGACTGAGGGCCCTCATCTGTGTGGTAACGACTGGGTTTTTCAACAGGACAACGCTATAGTACACAATGCCCGCAGGACAAGAGACTTCTTCCAGGAGAATACCATCACTCTTTAGGCCCATCCTGCGTGTTCCCCTGATCTAAATCCAGTTGAGAACCTTTGGGGACGGATGGCAAGGAAAGTTTACAAAAATGGACAACAGTTCCAGACAGTAGATGCCTTTCTTGCAGCAGTCTTCGCCACCTGGAGAAATGTTCCCATTCACCTCATGGAAACGCTTGCATCAACCATAATTAACTTTAGATGTGATCAACAATAACGGTGGAGCTACTCATTACTGAGTTCATGTTTTGAACTCTGATTGCTGTTTTGGGGGGGTTTATGGGTTTTTTTGGAGGTGTGGTCCTAAACTTTTGATCAGCTGTAAAACAGCCTGTTTCAGTTTAAGCGTTGTTTATGATAAATTGCATGCTTAATAAAATGTTTTTCTCACTCTCATTTCTTCTTGGACCTTGTTAAGATCCAACCATGCAAAATATGATTTTTTGCCATTTTTCAAGTGGTCTTAAACTTTTGATCAGGACTGTATCTATCTGACGCTGCCAGGTTGCACCTCAGACTCAAGGAGTCTGAGGTGGTCCACATGTCGCTAAATTTAAGTATCATCTCATGAGGATTTGGCTCAGGCATGCATACATACAAGCATGTGGGCTCCATACAAACTACTGTGCAACATTTTAAGTTGTGGCAACGCTGGATCTTTTTTTTCTTTTTCTTTTTTACTTCAATTTTCAAGGTGTCTTTGAATTCAGCCCTCTGTAGATTGATCACTTTAATTTCCTGACTTTTGTTCCTAACATTATCCAGTCCATATACAACATGATTTCAAGGTTCAAGGTGAACCTTGAAATCATGTTGTATTGATTGATTGATTTCTCCCACCCCTTTACGATCTGATGTGTTTTGTGAAATTATGTTTTGTGAAGTGATTGATAGCTTAGCAACAGGAGTAACAGCTCAATGTGGTTGAAAGTTTGAATCTGAAACAAAAGGTTGTGAATAATCAGCTAAAATAGTTTGCCCAACGTTTTAAGAAATAGAGCTAAAGCTATCGATGATAAAGGACGAAAGAGTTAAAAAAATATTTATGTTAGACACCAACATCTAGCTGAAACTGAATAAACCAGAGGATGGATATTTTGATCCCAAAGGGTGACTGCTGAATTCTTTTGACGTACAATTGTGAGCAAAATTAAGTCATACAGTCTGTTCCTCAAAATGTTAATACCCACAAGTCAGACAAGCAACAGCCAAATGTTAATTATTCAGTTAATAGTAGCTTTGAGTCTCTGGCCAATCTTGTTAAAAAAAAACATCAGCTCGCTTGAAACTTGCAAAACAAATTCACGATGTTTATTGTTATTTTGCATACCAGTTCATGATGTGGTTTCAGGTAAGTTATGAACGCCAGTCTGGGAGACAGAAACTATGGTGTTTTGCTCTTCAAACACAAGACTGGTCGCATCTGAAAATCTTGATTTAAATTGACGCTTTTCCAGTCTTTCCACATTTCTTTCTGTTCCATAAGCTACTTCAGCTCAAATTTATCTGTTTCGGTCTTGCAGTATCTCAAATACACATTTTTCATCATGTAAGACATCGAAAGACTTTATGATGAAAGAAATTTTCAATCTACACCAGAGTTACACTCCACAAATAAGATAACTCTTTGTTGTCACTGCACAGTCATACTTAGTACAACGAAACTGGAAAACTGTCCCATGTCGGCACTAAGCACTACTAAACACAACATGGAAGAAACTGAAGTTGGTGAAAATATGTTGTGTTTTTTTTTTTGTAAATTACCTTCCCTGTTAACACTTAAAGTAATTGATATATTATTTCTTAAATGTTTTAACAAATAATATTGCACAGGTATGGGTATGTCTTTTAGTTTGAAGATCAGCGTATTTCATGGCTAACGTAATACATCCGGTAGCCAGCTGAATTTTAACGTCATTTCTGCTGGTACGTGTGTAGCTACTATATTCCCGCAGCTATAGTTCTAATGTTAAAAGCTGCTGTCCTGCTGGTCAGCTGTTCTTCCTCTATCGCGTGGAGCATTGTGTGGATACTGTCTGTTTAACCGGACATCGGGGTCTCTGTGAGTTTTCCAAGCATTGCTCTTATGTTTTTTTTTTACCCCATGTCGAAGGACAAGTTTAAAAGACATAGCTTTAACTGTCGGATTGTTGTGTATGCTTGCTTACTTTACCGCTTATCTTTGTAAACAGCAGCTTGGCGATTTCTTAAAATGTTGTTTTGAACAGTATGATTTCTTGCGAGGGAAATGTACTACGTGTTCTTTTAGCATCTGAAATCCGATGAAACATTTTGAAAGTGTCTTAATTTAGGTTTGATGATGCGACTGCGAATCACTTACCGAGGCCTTGGAATGACGATTCCCTGCTCTGAGGACCCTATGTACCTGGTAGTGATTAGTTAGCCAATACAGCTAACATATCGGTGCTAACCCTAGTTTAATTAAAGGGAGCTTAGAATGTTACCCAGTGTTGCCTAAAGTAACACCCCCGCCGTTTTTCACTGAAATTGCGTTAGGATAAAGACTTAATATTGCGAGCAAAATATACATTGAGAGTTGGACCGTTAGCTAGTTAGCAGCGACCTAGTCTGTTTAGAGCACATATAAACCCTGCTACGGTACAGCAGCAGCGATATCAGACCCCCATTAAAAAGCTGTGCTACATTCTAAACTTCTGAGGTTTTAACAAGTGACAGTCCACGGTTTCATTGGTCTGACCCCGTTTGAATGTGCATGAACTCCACATTTGGGCTGCATTGAACTGGATTTATCAGTTCAAAATATAGGAGTCTCAGCGCAGTTGCTGATGGAGCATAGGGTTCATCCGTTATTACCGCGAACACCCGTCAGCCTTTATGAACGCATCTGCTGTTGTACTATCAACATATCTGTAATTTCTGCTAGGGCTGCAACTGTCAATTTTTTATTTTTAGTAATCGGCTAGTCTTTGGATTAATCCATCAATTAATCGAGTAATTGGATAAAAATAAATTTTGCGCTATTAATGAGCAATAATGAATATTAAAAATAGAATAGAATAGCCTTTTCTTGTCATTGCACATGCATAACGAAATTGTAGATGCTCCGTTCAAACTATGCATGGATAAAAATATAAATGGTAGGACAGTAAGAATAAATAACAAAACAAGAGGAATATATACAAAGCAGGAGAAATGCACACGTTAGAGGACAGAAAGAAAAAACACAGGTACTTCAAAATGAGCTGTTAGAAATGGCAATGTTTTAATAATTTAACTGCACAACAACATCTGTTAAAACAACTAATATAGTATTTTGTTGTATTAAAATAGTTGTTGTTGTTTTTTTAAAGAAAACATTTTCGTAAATGCAAAAATAAATAAATAATCTCAAGTATGGTAATATAAAATAATATATACATGCAACGAAAACTAAGGCATAAAATAAAATTGCCTGTACAGCTCGGTGATTAGCACATTTGCCTCACAGCAAGAAGGTCCTGAGTAACTATGTGTTAGACTGGGCACCCAGACCTGTACCCTGCCTCTGCCACCATGACAAGGATAAGCGGAAGAAAGTGGATGGATGTCTTCTTGGAAGGCTTTCTTACATTAATATGTTGCAAAAATAGTTTTGTGTTGCATCTGCTGGATGACATAGATTAAGTGTGTTTTCATATGTATGTGTTTTGTGCATGTGTTTCTGCGTATTTAAGTGTGTATGTGAATATGAGAGTTTGTGTGTCTGTAAGCCTTAAAAGAGTGTGTGTGGTGGCTGCAATGAAGAAAAGCAAGCATATCAGCATTCTGAAGTTTGCCCTGTGCATTGATGTATAATTTTTTTGCTGTTGAACGGACATTATGATGGTGTAGATGTTAATAATGTTAATAATAATTCACTGTCCAAACTAACAGCCCCAGGTCACTGGCTCAGAGTTTTTTGGGGGAAGAAGCTGTTGTGAGATAATATTTGATATTATTTCACTTTAAATCTGTAAAATAACTTTACAAAAGCCTTGAAATAAATATGGTCTAAACTCACAAAATATGGTCTCTAAACTCGCCCCTGTTTATTGCAGGTGTCGCAGGTCACTGAGATGGAAAGTGGGACTTCTGCCGTCAGCCTTCAGCAAGCGGCGTAATTAACTTAGTCTGATACACGGTTTAACCGTCCATCTGCATATTTTAAAGATATCCCACTTACGTGGCTTTATTTTACATTTTTGCTGTGTAAAACAAATGGTGGAGTATACAGCTACAAAGTTTGCTTTTCTTCACGTCAGAGTTCCACCTCTCAGCTCTTCGTGATGTAAACAGACTCTGGCTCCATGTTAAACTATGCTAGAGTCATCGTCGCTGCTGCTGCTGCTCTGTCAGTCTGTTGGAAAAACTGTGTGGGCTTAATATTGTGAAACTTTTTATTCACATGCTACTCCTACATATGGTTGTATTCCAAGTCTGTTTTTAGTCACAAATGTTACAGAGTGATGTATCAATCGAAGCAAATAATTTGTGTCAAGGATTTTTTTATAATACAGTTATTTGAATTACTAGATGACTGGTTGCTACACTAATATCTGCACAGTTCAAATAACTGTGTCTGCACAGGACAGGGCTGTAGATTAACATTGTTAGCTCATAGTACTGGTGGTAACAAGGTTGCCAGTTTTGTAGCACAGAGCAAAAAGTTGTAGTGCAAGCATGAAATGTGGTGTTTTTTTAACATTGTGTCTTTTAAATATCTTGTTTGACATGACATAAGAATTGTTTGATTTTCTCCTTTTTTGCTGCTTCTGAGCAGTAGTGACAAAATAAAAGCTGTGCCTTAGCATCGTAAATCAGCCATGGAAAGTCATGTTTTCACTTGCTGTTGTACTTTTAAACCTTTCCTTTTCTTTCAGACGTACCTTCATTTGGTGCAGGTTGTGTGTTTGTTTTGTCCTGATGGGCGGGTTTTCTTTTAAAGGTTAGAAATATTGCTCTATTCTTTTCAGCGTGAAAATACGCTTCCAAATTCCAACTCCTTTTATAAGGACCCCCACACAAGATCACTTGGGGTCACTGCACCGGGTGTTCTGATTACCACAGGGATCACTGTTGCCTTCACCCTCCATATCTTCTTCAGTTCTTCTCTGAGGCCTTGGTACTTCTTGAGCTTCTCGTGTTCCTTTTTCCTTATGTTGCTGTAACTCAGTATAACAATCACTACGGCCATCTTCCTCTACTTGTCTACCACTCCTATGTGCAGGTTGGTTAGCCATCATCGGTTTGTCTGTCTGTATCTGAAGTCCCACAGGATCTTAGCTCGTCATTCTCAACCACCCTAGGAGGCGTGTCCCATTTTGACCTCAGGACTTCTAGGTTATACTCTGCACAGATGTTCCTGTTCACTATGCTGGCCGCTTGGCAGCATTCCACGTATGCTCTGCCTGCTAGCATCTGGCACCCTGCTGTTATGAGCTGGATTGTCTCGGGAGCATCTTTACACAGCCTGCACCTGGGATCTTGCCTGCTGTGGTAGACCCCAGCCTCTAACAATCTTCTGCTCAGAGCTCGATTTCTCGTTCACTTCTTTCATACAGCTTGATGTCAGATATGTAGAGGAGGTGGCTGACGATTGCTCCATTCTGTAGTCTGTATCCGTAGCCAGTCTTGCAGTGATCTCACTGAGGGATTCAGGCCTATGCAGAACAGCAGTGGGGGCAGGTTATCTCCTTGGTAGATCCCACACTTGATGTTGACTTGTGCAGTTGGCTTGAAGTTGACCTCTAGTATTGTTCGCCCCATCTCCTGAAGGCATCAAAACTATGAATGAACAGATATGGAATTATGTAGTAAACACCCCTGTTCACTTCAATTTAAAATAGGATGGCTGCTGCCAGCTAGTTGCAGCATTTCCGAACCGTAATCATATACAGGTCTCACTACTATCTTGTGAACTGCTGCCATCCTTCTGTCACAAGTCACCCTGACACTACTCATCTCCACTCATTCCATGATGCCTGCACTCTCTTTTTATATTTCTGATGCACTCCTGGTTCTTTTTCCATGGTTTATCCCAGGTATCTACCTTCACTACCTCTACTCCTTGGATGTTGACCTTTTCACCTGTCTCCGTCTGAAGCTGGTTTTATGGTCGAGCAGAAGCGGTGTGTTTATTGTCAGCTTCAGTCCGGGCCCCTCTGCCTGCAGGGAGCTCTGCTGTCAGATGGAGGCAGTGTAGAAGATATGCAGGCCACTTTTGCTCGTGTTGTTAGTCTGTCAGGCAGCCTCGGAGAAGAGCAAATATGTAACATCCGAAAAAAAGTGAAGTGAAACAGAGTGTTAGAAATAATGAAACGTGTCCACTGCAGCCCTCATTTGTGCTTTTCAAGCTGTTTTTTGATCTTTGAAGTTCTTTTTTTCTCCTCAGTTCTCCTTTTCCCAGTAAACTCCACTATACCATAAAACCAGCTTTATGTATACTCATGTATTTGGTTTTGCTCCTACTGACTTTCATTCCTCTTCTCTCCATTTCATACCTCCACCTCTCCAGGCTCTCTTGCAGCTGCTCCTTGCTCGCTGCAGATCACAATGACACCTGTGAACATCATAGTCCATGGAGTATCATACTATCACCACTGTAAACAAGAAAAGGTTAGAACCATTTTGTTATTCCACTCTTACCAGCCACCATCTGTTCCTCCCAGCTCTTCAAGTACATGTTTACCTTTGCCATTTAATTTTTTCCCCTGCAAAATCCACTTCCATATGTCCTTCCTCATGTTAACATCATACCTAGCCAACACCTCATCACCTTTGTTCCCTTTATCTACATGTCCATTGATGTAAGCTCCAGTCATCACTCATCTACCCAGGGACATTTTTTGTTACTTCATCCAACTTAAGCCTCGATTATGCTTTCCATGTCCACAAGTCTGCTGCCTGGTTTTAAGTGACATAAATTTTATAATAAGAAAGTAAAGGTGGGGCTTCGTACCAGTTTCCCATCTGTTCTTTGTGACCAAGCGGACTTGTCCAGAGAATTTCTATAACTGTGCACCAGCTACACGTGCCCAGGTGCTGAACTTCCAACCCAGTATCATCTCAAAGCATGTAACAGACATGCTGGCCCACCTTGTGGATGTCACATGAAATGGACCCACATACAGAAGTTGCAGTGAGCTGCAGTACAAGCCGTGGTGATATTCTATTTCAAGCCAATGTGAAAACAAATGATTAAAGAGATATTACTCATACATTTAAATGTAAACAAATATCAGCCACCTAGCTTAATCTTACCTGACATAGAAGAAGCCTGAAATGTAGTCAGTAGTGACTTGCTGGCTGTAAATATTTAATCTCCCCCTGGTGAGACTGCAGCTTCTGTATGCGTGCTCTCCAGAATTCCTGATAATGAGCAAGAGACACAAGTCTATGTTGTCTTAATATTATGTTAGCAAATACATTTTTATACTTAATTTTCTTACATAGGCAATTTACTGTCTCACAGCTGCTTTTTAAAAATGCATTATGTACGAGAACCTAGGAGTAGTAACTTTGTTAACACCCTTATGCCAAAATCACCTTACAACCTGGAGGGGTCCCCAGTGATGCTGGATATTTCCTGAGATGCAGCATATGGACATTAGTAATACAATACAGCTTCATTTCCTTCTAACTGATTGAACTAACTTTAAATTTATTAAAAATGGCCAAATACTTATTACCACCTCTTTCTAAGATGATCCTGTCTGCTCTCTCTGCAGGTGGCGGCTGTCATGTAGTTAGGCCTTTTACTTCATGGATTTTGAGTCTTGAGGATTTTGAACATTTAGTTTTTGTCACTATTTGTCTAAGTTCCTAGACATTCTATCATACACTTAATCATGTGTAATGCAGTCCAATAATAAATAGAACTAGGTTGGGAAAATTCTTGTTTTTCTAAACTCCAATCAAAATGCAATTTGTGTTAGAATGAGAGACTGACCGAGAAAGTAGTAAAAGCAAGTAAAACCAAAGGGGCCAAAGTGCTTGTGCTGGTAACAGAAGAGCCACCCTGTCAGTAGGTTGGCAGCGCCTGAGGTAGCCAGGGCGTGAGGATGACTAGCTTGTTTAAACGCAGTAGCAGCAATGGAGGCTCCAGAAGCAGCGGAAATGGAGGTGGGGGTGGCAGTGGACAGGGGCAGCTTAACAATAGCAGGCCAAGCCGACAGGTCAGACGCCTGGAGTTCAACCAGGCCATGGAGGACTTCAAGACCATGTTCCCCTCTATGGACTATGAGGTGATAGAGTGTGTGCTGCGATCTAACAATGGAGCTGTGGATGCTACCATCGACCAGCTGCTGCAAATGAGCATTGACGGACAAGGCTCAGATGACAGCTCAGACTCGGATGACAGCATCCCACCAGAGGTCAGTGGAAAGGGTCCAAGGGTACAAACACCAATACCTGCTGAGCTTGACTGGCTGTCAGTGCTGGCACTGTAAACCAAAGCATCCCCTGCATTTAAATTGCACATTAGGGTTCTGGTGATGACCAGGCTTTTACAGTGTTCATGTTTGGATTTGCACATGTTTTGCATTCAGAAACGTGAGCAAGAAATGTGACGTTTTGAGAAACATGCGCATCCAATGTATATAATGCAAAAGCACAATATTATGATGTTTGAACTTTCTTTGATGGTACAGAGCATAGTGGCTCAAATCACATGATAATGGCAAGGCAACAGATGGTAAAATGCATCTAGGAATACAGTAATAACCAGGTTTAAAGTTCAAGTGTTTAAGTTCCATGTGAAGGGATTAAAGGTTACAAAAATCAAAGTATGGGAAGTTTTAAAAACCAGGTTGCTATCTAACAGGATACCTGTAAAAGCAGTCACTGAAAATTTCAAGATGGCTCTGAAAAAAGAATGAATACATGTGATGAGATTTCTCAATCACATGTATTCATGTGATTTTTAGAAGTTCTGTTGATACAAAATTGTATTTTTTTTTCTTTTTTCTTTTTTTTTTAAGAGAATCTGTTCTATAATGGCTTACAGCCAAAGACTGGAACTGCAGAAATGTCCATTTTTGTTAACAAGTTGTATCGAATCAGATGTTCTTGTCTAGGATGTGGTCATATGCATGAAGGCACCATGACAAGTATAACAATAACACGATGCTAGTCAGTCTTTTTACTGAAAAGAGCATAGCTACTCAGTTCAAGATCAAGACATTTTGCACTAACTTGAAGTTTATTTAGCTGAAAAAATGGAAATCTAGCTGAAGGCAGCTTAAATCAATCAAAGCACCTAATCAAACAAAACTTGTGTTTTCTAGATATTGGAGCGAACTCTGGAGCCTGACAGTTCAGATGAGGAGGCACCTCCAGTTTACTCTCCACCAACATATGACATGCACATTTATGATAGGAAATACCTAGAAGCCCCACCAACACTATCTCCACGGTAAGTAACAAAGACTTAGGTGCTATGTTTTACATAATTGTTCTGTTAATTTTTTAAATAAAATACCTCTGTAACCTGATGAAGCCTCAGGCATTGCTTTTGTAAATAAAATATATCAAGAACATTTCTTCAAATTTGGCTCAAATGTCTCTTGGACTCAAAGATAAATTGTCTTTTTTTTCTAGGTCAAAAGTCAAGGTCACAGTGACTCATCAACATGAGTCCATATTTCAAGAATTCAGATTCAAGTTATAACAAAAAAGTGAAGTGATAACATTTTCCCAGGTTAATGGTCAGTTTCACTGTAATATCACAATGCAGACACATTTTCAGAGTGCACATGGGTCCCTAAAATATCTCAAAATATCTTCAGTATTCATTGTCTGGGTGGGTGTTTCAGTCGTTGCAGTCACTTCAGTGTTGCTATTTTCACAATTTCACATATTTCGAGCAAACGATGCCTCTGTGCTGTGTATTCGAGGTGTTTTAGATTAAGAACAAACAGCTTCCATATATGTATATATGATCATGTTATTTGCTAATAAAATTTTTTAAAACCAATGAAATCCTTCTAATTTTTATTGACTGTATAATAGAAACGTAAAAAATGATCTAAATAAGTGGCAAAGAAACAAATAAACATTGTACGTCTACCAAAACTTGGCCACAGTTGTAGTTGTGTTCATCCAAAGCGGGGCCTTTACAGTGTTTTTATGCTCTCTGCATGCCTCTTGTCGTGGCTGTCATACACCGATTTTGACGTTTGGCACGCTGGTCGGTTGAGCACCTCTCAATTTTTGTAACTGGTGTGTTGCACTGTGGCCGAGTAGGTTTGTTTTTTTTGGTTTTTTTTGTCCTTCCCCAAGGGCAAAGTCTTCCAGGTTTGACTTCCCCTTCCTGTCTCAGCAACTATTTCACAGTGTTGTCTGAGTGGCGCCACCTATCATTCAGGAGAATGCTGCAGTCCCTTCCTATGCCTTAACAGCGGGCATACCGGAGTGACTGTGTGATGATCATGTGGTGGCGAGTGAAGCAACCAATGTATAACCAGAGATTATACTGGTGACCTTAGTTGTGCTTTTATCCTTCAGCAAACTGTGGAGAGTTGTAAAGTACAAAGGCTTTGTTCAAGGACAAATGACATGGTCTACGTAGGCTGAGTCCTTTGAAGGAACCAACCCCTGAATTTGCAGTGTTTAAACACAAACGGCCCAGTACAGCTGTTGTGTGGTTTTCCTTTTGTGTTTTTGATCTTTTGATCTTTTGTTTTTCCCCTTATTGTTGTTTCCTTTTGATACCTTATTTTTTTCTTCCAGGCCTACATTTCAGACAACCAGCAGTTGACCAACACATACAGTCCACACAAGGAGATGCATTCTTTTAATTTTAAATTTTTTTTTAATGTATTTATTTTTTGGAGGATTGCACATGTCTATGTACGTTGAATACCCTTAGTCCTTCAATCTGTGTAGCAGAATAACTACGCAAACTGACACAAAAGCAGTGCCATCTCCCATAAGAGTCCTTTCCTTTCAGACAGTGTATCCCCTGAGGAGGGTCTTTTCTGGGGTAAAAGTATCTTCCTTTTCATGTAGACCCTGGTCCATGCAATTGATGAAGAAATTTTCTCTGACGCTTTGTGCTGCCGAGAAAAATTACTGCAATGTGAAACTTTGTAACTATTATTGACTTCATGCATTGCTTTAAGTGGCCATTTTTAAAAAAGGAAAATGAGCATAGGTGTTTCCCCAGTTACCACTATATGTGAAGGACAGTGTCACAGGGAATTTGTAGAACCTTTTTGTTGTGAGGTGAATGTTCTGCTTGGCTGGGGCCTTTCTGTGTGGAGTTTGGTCTGGTTTTTCTGACTTCCTCTCACAGTCCAAACAGACACATGTTAGGCTAATTGTCGATTAGACAAGTAGTTCAATAGTAAAACTATAAAAGCACCATGCAAATGCCAGTGTGGGTCCAATCCTGTGCTGCTCCTTTAACATCTGTATCAGCAGCTATGATAATTCATCCAAAGATTATTTACTGCAGTACAATAATGCAGAGATATGTAAATAGTTATGGGGTGAAAACAGACAATACCAAACAGCCCCAGCACCTTTTGTGACTTAAACAAAAGGCAGCATAAGATTGTATGTTATATGCAAACACTGACAATGCTTTAAAGACCTAAACCAAGCAAAGAGTTGGCACGTCTTAAAATTGAATTAGCCTGTTTTAATTGTTTGACAGTATTATAGATTGTGTCTAGGCCACATTTGCAAACACTCACCAGGCATTTTCTCATTCATAACATCATTTTCCTGTTGAGATATATGGGGAAAAATAGATGTTTCTTGTCTCTAGCACTCCCTAGTTATTATTGTGAGAGCACCATATAAAGGATTTAAATAATTAATAATAGTTTCAGATAGAGACAACTTGAAAATGCAACTGGTAGATTTACTAATCTGTCCTGTTACTCCATGGACTCTCCTAGATCTAAAGCCCAGCCTCCTTCAGCTCACCAGCAGGTCAGAAGCTACCGTAACTGGAACCCTCCATTGCTTGGAAATCTCCCTGATGATTTTCTACGGATTCTTCCACAGCAGTTAGACAACATTAAGGTAAAAATGGGATTGTTTTTTCCCAAGCGTTCACAAGATGGCTCCTTTTTTTCCCTCCTTACTGTTAAATACTGTTAATACCATTAATGTCTTTTTCTTATGTTGGCCTTGTTTGTTTGTTTTTTGTTTTTTGTTTGCTTGCTTTGTGATACTGTAATATGTATGTAGTTAAACAAACAAAAACAAAAACCTGTCAGAGACAGAGAAAAGCCTTACGGAGTGGCTGAATTAACAATCTGGGACATGCTTAAAAAGAAGAATTGTATTTGTTGGTTAAGAAAACACCTTCATAACGTATCCAAGTCAAGAACGTTGTCAAGGAGGTAGTGTGTCAGCCTTCACTGACAGAAGATTGTGTTCTGACAGCCAAACATTTCTGATGTGGCTAAGTTAATTATGTTAATTATATTACTGGGGGCAAGAAGGAGAACATCTGGTGTAATTCAATGCAATTCAATTTTATTTATACAGCTCCAAATCACAACAACAGTTCTCTCAATGCACTTTAGATTGTAAAGTAGACCCTACATACAGAGAAAAACCAAAGAATCATATGACCCCCTGTGAGCAAGCACTTTGGCGACAGTGGGAAGGAAAAACTCAATTTTAACAGGAAGAAATTTCCGGCAACGGATGTATCGCCAGATATGTTATTTAAATATAGACGTTTGGTATCCACAGGAATGTCGGAATCTCAGCTAAAAGCGTACAATACCATTTAAACAACCACCAAACAGCAAACAATTTAAAGAGCAGGTAAATCCACAAAACGATGTAAACACAAATCGCTGATCGTTCACTCGACATGCTGTCGGGTACTGAAATCCAACCTCTCACAGATTCTGAAACTGCAGGTTTCGTTGTCACATTTTCATCACAGAAAAGTTTGTTTTTCACTTTCTTTTTATTTCTTTTGTTGATGCAAAGACAACTTTAAAAGCATCACAAACATTAAAAAAAAAAATCCAAGCCAAACGGAAACAGTGAAAACTGGCAGTCCTGATAGGGAGTTTTCTGAAACCGTCAACTCATCCTGAAATTTTACTGTCAGCTAGGAGGGCCATAACAGGGAACACCTTTCACAGTAATAACGAGTTACAGTAGTCCATCCTAGAGGTAATAAATGCATGAACTAGTTTTTCTTTGTTACTCTCAGACAGGATATGTCTCATTTTTGAGACATTGTGCAAATAGAAGAAAGCAGTCTTACATATTTGTTTAATGTGTGCATTGAACAATATATCCTCCGCAATTCCTCACAGTGTTACTGGAGGCCAAGGTAATGCTATCCAGAGTAAGCTTCTAGCTAGATGCCAAATTTCTAAGATTTTTAGGGCCAAAGTACAATAACTTTAGCTTTATCTAAATTTAGAAGCAGGACCACCGTGCCAATTAGAAGTGGCACAGTGGTTAGCACTGTTGCCTCATAGCAAGAGGGTCCTGAGTTGAATTCCACAATCAGGCCGTGGTCTTTTTGTGTGAATTTTGCATGTGTTTGTGTGGGTTCTCTCCAGGTAATCCGGAGGCCACTCCCGCTAATGCGTTAATTGGAAACTCTAAATTGCCCAGAGATGTGAATGCAGGTGTAAGTGTGAATGGTTGTATGTGTTAGCCCTGCAACAGACTGGCGACCTGTCCATGGTATACTTTGCCTCTCACCCCAAGACATCTGGGATAGGGTACAGGTGCAGCTTTCCCAGCGACCCTGAAAAGGATAAGCGGAAGAGATGTCTTTACATCTGTATGACATTCCTATAGTTTAACTATCTGGCTTCACGGATAGAAGCTGGGTTCTATCCGTGTGTTTGAGAGAGTTGGGTGTTATCTGCATAACAGTGAGAATGTATGCATACATTGCTATACCTAAGGGAAGCATGTATAATGTAAACAGAATTGGTCCTAGCACTGAACCCTGTGTGTGAAGAGGACTCTCCATTTAAATGAACAAATTGTAGTCTGTTAGGTCGAAATGATTCAAACCATTGCAGCGCAGCAAATCAAATCAAATCAAATCACTTTTATTGTCACATCACATGTGCAGGTACATTGGTACAGCACATGTGAGTGAAATTCTTGTGTGCGAGCTTCACAAGCAACAGAGTTGTGCAAAATACAATAATGTAAACAAGCAAAATACAAGAATGGCTACATCTGAAACTAATAAATATATGTACAATATATAATAGTATATGCATTTCTGGATGTGTATACTAAATATTTTTCTACGTGTGTGTGTGTGTGTGTGTGTGTGTGTGTGTACATATTTTACAAATTAAATAGAGTAAACAATAAATAAAATATATAAAAATATACAGAGTGAGACATGTGCAAAACAGTGGCATTACTGTACAGTATGGAGTGCATAATGTTAAAGTTCCAGTAGTGAAGGTGAGGTGTCTATGATGTGTTCAGCAGTCTGATGGCCTGATGGAAGAAGCTGTCTCTCAGTCTGCTGGTACAGGACCGGATGCTGCAGAACCTCCTTCCTGATGGAAGTAGTCTGAACAGTTTATGGCTGGGGTGACTGGAGTCCTTGATGATCCTCCCCGCTTTCCTCAGGCACCGCTTCCTGTAGATGTCTTGGAGGGAGGGAAGCTCACCTCCAATTATCCGTTCAGAGCACCGCACTACTCGCTGGAGAGCTTTGCAGTTGTAGGCGGTGCTGTTGCCATACCAGGTGGTGATGCATCCAGTGAGGATGCTCTCAATGGCACAGTGATAGAAGGTCCTGAGGATGCGGGGGCTCATGCCGAATCTTTTCAGTCTCCTGAGAAAGAAGAGGTGCTGCTGCGCCTTCTTCACTGTTTTGTTTGTACCTGTAATACCTGTAATACGTACAGCATGTTCTAATCGCTGTAATAAAATATCATGATCAACGGTATCAAATGCTTCTGGCTACACTGAGGTCTAGCACGACAAGCACAGAGATGAGTCCACTGTCAGAGGCCATAAGAGCATCACTTGTAACCTTCACTAAAGCTGTACTCTGTACTTTGATGAGCTCTGAAACCTGACTGAAACTCTTCAAATAAACGATTTCTCTGCAGATGATCAGTTTACAATAGAGTTTACAATAAGTCTTTCAAAAAAAAATGTTCAGATAAAAGGAAAGGCAGCTAGGTTAAGTGATGGCTTTTGAGGAAGTAATTAATTTGATGGTTTGGAGGAAGTAATTACTGAAGTTAACTCAGAGAGATAAATTGGAGAAAAACAGTCTAAATAAATATTTGTGGTACACAATGTTAAGTCTGTGAGATTATGAGTAATCTTTTCTTTTAATAGTTAAAATTTATTTTGGGAAGAAGTTCATGAAGTCATTACTAGTTAACGTTAAAGGGATGGTTGGCTCAACAGAGCTCTGACTTTTTGTCAGCCTGGCTACAGTGCTGAAGAGAAACCTGGGGTTGTTCTTATTTTCTTCAATCAGTGCTGAATAGTGGGATGTTCTAGCTTTATGGAAGCCTTTTTATAGAGCAGCACCAAACTAGCTACAAATTTTTCAAGAGTGCAGAGCTGGATCTCCAGTTTAGTAATCTGATCTTGTTCGCGAGTGATGGGAGAAGGGAGCCGGAGATCGACAGACGGATTGGGGCTGCAGCTGCAGTAATGCGGAGGCTGCACCGGTCCGTCGTGGTGAAGAGGGAGCTGAGTGTAAAAGCGAAGCTCTCAATTTACCGGTCGATCTACGTCCCTACCCTCACCTATGGCCACGAGCTGTGGGTAGTGACCGAAAGAACGAGATCGCGGATACAAGCGGCAGAAATGAGCTTCCTCTGAAGGGTGGCTGGCCTCTCCCTTAGAGATAGGGTGAGAAGTTTGGCCATCCGGGAGGGGCTCAGAGTAGAGCAGCTGCTGCTCCACATCGAAAGGAGCCAGCTGAGGTGGTTCGGGCATCTGACAAAGATGCCTCCTGGGCTCCTCCTGGGTGAGGTGTTCCAGGCATGTCCCACCGGGAGGAGGCCCCGGGGCAGACCCAGGACACGCTGGAGAGATTATATCTCTCGGCTGGCCTGGGAACGCCTTGGTATTCCCCTGGATAAGCTGGAGGAGGTGGCTGGGGAGAGGGAGGTCTGGGCCTCTTTGCTTAGGCTGCTGCCCCCGCGACCCGGCCCCGGACAAAGCGGATGAAGATGGATGGATGGATGGATGGATGGATGGCCTCTGAAGTTGTAAATGGGCTATGTTTATTACAAGTATCGTTATTACTCAAGGAGGCTGAGGAGTAACTAAAATCTGACCGAGCAGGAAAGTGCAGGAGGGACTATGACCTGCAAGATAAAGCTTGCTGACACTGGGCGTGACATTTCATTCCAGAATGGCTTGATAGTCTGGAGATTTAATTGTACACTGCATAGATTCAAGACACCCTGTGTCACATGCAGCAAAGCATCCCCAGAACATGTCCATGCCTCCTCTGTTTTTCACTGTAGGTTCAATGTTGTTGTTTTTTCTTTGCTTCATTTCTACCCTTCGACTGTTAAAGGCTGCTGGAGTATTATCGTCACCCCACTGGGCGGTGTGGACACTCAAGTTTGTAAATGCAATAACTTGAGAACAAAGTGATGTAAGAGCTTCAAATTGACACAATTGGTGTGTCAAGTGTGTGACGAGAATTTTCAAATTGATCCCACAGGTGCATCTACTAAAAGTATTGAACAAGTTTGAATCTCAGTGACCTTGGTCTCAAAGTCAGAGTAAACTTTCTGAAATTCTTGTGAATATGAAGCTTGTCCCAGGCTATCGCACAGCTAACACGGAGAGACAGACAAGCGTTCACACTCAAATTCACACTTTTAGAATTTAAAATAATAATAATAAAATTATAATTTTATTTCATTTTTTTCTGTCACCACTGAACTTTTTTTTTTCTTTAGTGGAAAGTGATCAACAGTTTTGTTCACATCTGTGTACCCTGATCAAAAATTAGACCCCCTCCAAACAGCTGCTCTGTTTTTTATATGAATTCGTGTGTTGTTTATTTAGTATTTATCCTCCCCATTGTCTTTTACTGCCTCATCCTCATTTGATTTATAGACCTGCATTTAACACACAGGCACAGCAGTTTTTCCATCAATTTTTCTTCACATCTACCTCTTAGTTTATTCTACAATACATTTGTGACAGGGTCTTTCTGTGTGGAGTTTGCATGTTCTCCTCATGTTTGCGTGGGTTCCCTCCGGGTACTCCGGCTTCCTCCCACCGTCCAAAGACATGCACTTTGTGGGGATAGGTTAATTGAGAAATCTAAATTGTCCGTAGGTGTGAATGCGGGAATGAATGTGAGTGTGAATGGTTGTCTGTCCCTGTGTGTTGGCCCTGCGACAGACTGGCGACCTGTCCAGGGTGTACCCCGCCTCTCGCCCTAGGACAGCTGGGATAGGCTCCAGCACCCCCCGCGACCCTGAAAAGGATAAGCGGAAGCGAATGAATGGATGGATGGACATTTGTGGCCAGTGCTGGTACAAAATTTGGTTTTCATGGACTTTTCTGTTTCAGTTATTATTTTGATTATTTTTTTACATGGTTCTATGATGCAATGACGAACAGTCACAGGGATCTCATGAAGGGTTTTTTTGTTTTGTTTTGGTCTTTTTTGCATTTTTGGCATTGGTGCCACTGGTTTAGACAAAATAATAGTAATCCTGAGTACTAGATTGATACATACATTAATCCTTTTTTTTTTTTTTCTCAGCAGAGCTCTCAGAACAGTCTGTCTCAGCTGTCACCGTCCTCCTCGTCAGTTTCTTCATTAAGTCAGTGGACAGTGCAGTCTGGTTCTGGGTCTGCTGCCGGAACCACTGGGGGTCCTGGTTTAACAACAGCAGCTACAGAGCAAGACAAGAAACTGAAACAGTATCTGGAAGACGAGCGTATCGCGCTGTTCCTGCAGAACGAGGAGTTTATGAGAGAGCTACAACGCAACCACGAGTTTCTCATTGCCTTAGAGAAAGGTATTCCTATTCACAGTATACACAGAAAAATTCTGCCATTAATGTCAACATGAGCCTGTGAGTTGCACTGCCTCGTCTTATATCTTATTGTACTTACCTGATGTATTGGAATTTAAAAAATACTTAATAAGATACTGTTAATACTGAAGAGCTGTCAAGTCCTTTTACAGTGTTGTGCACCTAGCCCATCACACTACCACAACCATGCTAATATGACTTGTTTGTTTATTTCATGAAGTGCAGTGTTAGTTTTACGCCAGATGTAATCGGATGTAATCTTCCATAAAGTTCAATGTTTGTCTTGTTGGCCACAGAATTTTTTCCCAAAATCCTTACGGAAATTTTTTGCCAATTCTGAGATCAGCCTTTTGCCTCTTTTGCACTAGCACCTACTCGGCTTGACTTGACTGTACTCTGCTCTACTTGGTTTTGGATGATCCACCTGAATGTGGATGGGTTTGTTGGACCAAGGCAGAATGAAAGTTCTTTGTTGTATGTGACACAAACAACACAACAAGATATTGAGGTGATGGTATAGCTGCTGCTAAACTGATGGTAAACGTTTGCACCTCTTCACTGGACTTCCAGTTTAATGGTTTAACGAGACAGACGTGTGAAGTAACTGCTTATTGATGGACTTAATCCACTAAAAACGTAATCATTGACGATTTTTCTAGAGTTAAACCCACGATTGAGTGGGGAAGGAATCACAGGAGGCTGACAAAACACAAATATGCCTAAAATAGAAGATAAAAACAACTCAGCGGCAAGAGCTAGCAATGTCTTGCTCGACTGGAAGCTAGATACTACCTACGTAATGGAAAACCCTAAGAACAGAAAGTCAAGTCCAGCTAAGTAGGTGATGGTGGAATAGAGGCTTTTGCATTCTTTTTGGTCAGCAGTGGATTTTGCCTTGAAACTCTTACATGGACAGAGTTTTTACCTGGTCTCTTTCTTAGTGCTGAATTATGAGCAGTCAACTTAGTTAAGTTCAGTGAAAGTAAGGATTGAATTCCTTTAGTGTATTTTCTTTTCTTTTTTTTGTGACCTCCTGGATGAACCGTTGATGCTCTTTTGGAATAGCATTGGTAGACCTTCCACTACTAGGAAGGTTCACCACTGTTCCAGGTTATATCCATTTGTGGGTAATGGCTCTCACTGCGTTTTGCTGGAGTGCCAATGCTTGGTAAAGATTTGCAACCCTTTCCAGACTAGTAGATATCACTTGTGTTTTTTTCTCATCTATTCTTAAATTTCTTTAGATTATATTATGTGTTGTGTTGCCTGCATAGCCTATTTCACTTTGCCAGACAGGTTCTTGGTGAGTTAGGCCTAGCGAAATTGAACTCAACTTTCCAAAAAGGTGGTTAATGACAGTTAATTTATCATTTAAATTACTTTTTCACATAGGGCAAGGTAGTTCTTTTTCCCTTAATGAATAAAAACATAATTTAAGTTCACATTTTGTATTCAATCCAGTTACCTTTGTCTAATACTAAATAGTGACGTGGGCGAGTAGTTGACTTGCTGACTAATCATGGCTAGTCGGTACCAGACTAGTTGTCTAATCTAATTGTTAAAATTTTAATTGATGCCCAATGCCTGTAAATTATTGTCGTAAATGTTATGCAACCATCTGCCACCAGATAGCACATTGTTTTTGAGAAATGTAATAAATCTATGAATCTAGGCCTTATCTTTTTGTATTAGAGCATGGAGGAAATTAGCTTTCTCTGAAAGGTGGATGGCTTATCCCTTAGCAACAGAGTAGGGAGCTCAGAGTAGAGCAGCTACTCCTCCACATTGGAAGGAGATTGCTGTAGACTCCTGGGTAAGGTGTCCCGACTGTGAATGTCCTACCAGGAGGAGACTCCGGTGTAGACCCGCAACACACTAGGGAGATTACATGTATTGGCTGGCGTGCAAACTAATCTATGTATATTTATTCGTATATTACCATTCTTTTTCTATTATATAACATTAGAAAATTACTGACTGCGAAAGCACACATTGTGTTTTGCTGAGGACCACTGAATGTAAACATAATTGTTTAAAGAAAACTGCACAGTGCAGAAAACTGTTTTTTTTTCTTGTTTTATTTTGCTTTGTTATTGCCAAGGTCTGCTTTTATGCTTAAGTATTATGCTTGGTTTGTTTTTATTACTTTGGTTAAAGTAATAAAATTTAAAGGTTTGCTCTCATACAACACAGTATTAACAAAAAAGCTAAAGCTTGCTAAGTCTAGAGAATGCTGGAACCAAAATCTGAAAAAGGAGAACTCTGGAAACACATCTGCATATGCTTGGCAGTCACCCCAAAACAAGAAATCTGTGTTCATTAAACAAAACCTATTTTGGGGTGGCTAGTATTCATGAAAAGTCAACTTCTTAGTGATAGTTCACTATAAGTAGTGGGATATATCTCTGTACGTTTATTGTGAAAGATTTGCACAAGAAGTTGCTGCATTTACTATACAATGTGCCAGAGCTCTAACAGTTTGCCTTTCCCAGCAGAAACTGAGATTAAGAATTTAAATTTGGGTCATATTACTTTTATGCTAGAGCTCGTCACATCTGGGCAACACACATTAGTGGTCATAACATCTGCTCTCTTTTTAGATCGCTTGAAGTATGAGTCAAAGAAATCAAAGTCCAATCATTCAACTAGCTTGGAGAATTCCACAGGTAGATATCACTCATCAAGATTTGTCTGCTAAGCTACTTTGAGCTCTGTCTAAATTGTACAGAGTACTGGTTTATGTGTTTGTGCATTCACTGTGTTAGCTGCATCAAAAATTTGCACTCAATATATCACACTGTGCATTTTTACGTTTGATATATTTGATCTTCAGATGCATAAGTGTACTGTGTGGTAGTGCTTCTGTGTATGTGTGCAGGAGACCAGTACTCTGGAGCTTCCATGGAGGCCATCTCAGATGATGCGTTCAGAGACAAACTCAAACACATGGGCAAATGTAAGTCTGCTGATTTACAGTAGTATTATTGTTTCACAATACCTACCTAGCAGGATGGCTGCTGTGTTTGCTTCGGATTACTCCTCACCCCCCACCCGACCCTGTGGCTTGTTGTGCTGTGGACATTTATGTACTTTTATGTGCAGAGGAGTTTTTTTGTTTCCTGTTCTCATGCTGTCCTTCCAAGAGCCCAGCATGAGTAGAGGTCTCTTTTTTTCCTCTTGTACTTTCCCATTGTAGTGTATATTTCAGTGTTTTTCTGTAACGCTACCGATCTCCGACCTGTATCCCCATGTGATGTCCGTGTTGTGTGTGTAAGGTTGGGGGGGGTCCTATTTCACTGCAGGGCAACCTGCACGTGGCGAATAAAGCCTTGATTGATTGATTAGTATTTATAGTCATTTTGTAGTTTGATTAATGGAGCAGGAAGTTGTTTTTTTCACCTTCAGCAACAAGAAAGAAGCTGTTTGAAATTGCCAGAACATTTTCAGAAAAGACAAAGAGAAGAAAGTCAAAAAGGAGGACACTCCTGAAGCATCATTCGTATCCTTTATGTAAATGTGGTCAGGCTGAGATTCTTGTATTTTTAAAAAGGTTCCATTTCATGTTGTGAGGCAGTACAGTAGCTAAAACAACACATTAAATCAAAACCACTTTCAAAACTGTTATGATAATGGTGAGACTTCTAGTACACTACACACAGAAGAATTTTTTTACTGTTGATAGTACTTGTTTTAATGTACAGCTGTTTCTTTTCACTGCTGTTAAGTGCTAATCGGTGACTCAACTCCTGGGTCCTCCGGTCTGCATGTAGAAATACCTTGGGAAAGATACTAAACACTAAGTTGCTCCTTTAGTTGTTTGTGTGTATGAGACAAAGCACTTAAAGGCACAGAATGAAAGTCTTTTGTAATGAGACATAAAAAGCAACACAAGTCTTTTGTTTGCTCAGAAAAGCACTATACAAGTAGCATTCCACGATGGACTACATTATGAAGAAAGAGTAAGAAGAAAAAATTTAACTGAGTAGTATGTAAATAAGTAATTACCGTATTTCCCGGACTACAAAGCGCACCTAAATATTAGCCGCACAAGCTAAAATCAGGGGAAAATCCTGTTTTGTACATACATTAGCCGCACCTGACCAAAAGCCGCAGGTGTTTCAATGTTGACTTATCATATGTAAGAGAATATGCACAAAGGGAATTGTCAGGAAAGAGATGGCTGTTTGGAGACATCACTTTTATTAATATTTTGAAAAACAAGTTATGGGTACATATTTGCACATGTAGTACATAACAGTAGCCTACAGCACACCAGAAAAATAGATTCGGACTACCTTTTAGGCTCAGGTGCAGTGACACAGCTTTAACAAGAAGAAAAGTCAGTCATTCACCACCATCTTTCTCTTCTTCCTGCGCACTAAAACCACCAAAGTCCTCTTCTCCAGTGTCGGATACAAACAGGCTCAGGATGGCTTCGTCATCCACTCTCCGCTTCTCTCCTTCGTTGTCAGTGTCAGAGTCGAACACCCTCAGAAGGGCCGTGGCGGTGTCCTCCTCTCCATCATGCAGCAGTCCAGCCCTTCAAAATCCGTTGGTGATCGTGGATGTTTTCACACTTTTCCACGCTGTCAGAATCCACCGGTGGAGTTGGGCATAACTTGCTTTTTGGGCATAACTTGCTTTTTGGGCATAACTTGCAAGTTTATCGCCGCTCATCATCCACGACTCCCGCTGAACGCGTACCGCTACTTTTGTTTGTTTTTCGCGCTACTTCGTATGGCACTACGTTGCCTGGCGGACGGACATGTGACTAACATACCACTCTTGAACCCCGATCCTTCCGCCAGGCAACGTAGTGCCGTACAACAGCGGAACACACAAAACAAATCGTCTTACGATATGACAAAAATCACGGAAAATCCATAGAAAAGCCGCACCTGACTAAAAGCCGCAGGGTTCAAAGCTTGTGCAAAAAGTAGCGGCTTATAGCCCGACATTTACGGTAGTTAAAATTGCAGAACGTTCTTGTCTTGTTTTAGTGTTTTAGTAATTAATTTGATAAGTGTTTGATTTCATAAGTCACTAACATTAAACTTTGTGTGTTGGTAGTGTTGTTTGATCATACAACAATATTTGGATACTTGCTAACCCCCTTGAGTGTCTTTTAGTACACCTGAAGGCTAAAACACCATCAACCTGACACTCTAACACTACGTTCAGTTTAAACCAGTGTTTAAACTGAACGTAGTGAATTGATATACATCTGAACTTGTGATCACAGGTGACATGAAAGGTCTAAAATTTGGCATTTTAAGCATGGTGAAACATGGTGGACAATTTTAGGCACAATTGTGTTCAGTTGATGCAATAGAGTTGTAGGAGGCTGAGGCTGTGAGGGGAGGGCTCCAGCAAGACACTGATGACACTTCCTTTGGGGTTCGCTCACACTTTCTTTTATTCCACACTTCCTCTGGTATACCATTGCGGCCATGCTTCCCAGTTGCCAGCCAGCTCACAGCTAGTTTCCAACTGCAGAAACCAGCTTGGCTCAGCTGTCTTCCTTCATCTTCTCTGAACCCAGCAAGCAACTGTTGGAGAAATGGAGAATGGCTGATTAGACAAAAACTGACATCTGTGTGCAAAACAAAGGGATATCTGCGTGCACTCTGGTGAAATGGCCCCATGAGGGTGGGTTTGGTCTAACAGACTGGTCCATCTTTGAACAGCAGGACCTGGTGACCTTCACTTAGTCTGTCCTTTTCTACATTAAAGAAAGTGTAGAGAATGCGACAGTGACCTAAACTGTTTGCATTTTCCCTAATCGAAAAGCTTGGATGACAAATGAAGTACAGGCTCTGGTCAGAATTCGTAACTCAGGCTGAGGGACAGCACTACCAGAGCCAACCTGAGGAGGGGCATCGAATTGGCCAAGGAGGGCCTATAGGAGAGTGTGGAGGCCGTCTTACTGATAACATCTCCTACCAGGTGTGGAGAGGAATCCAAGCCCTCACCAAATACAAAGGCCAGAGCCCCCCAACAGGAGCCTCAAAATTGCAGAGGAGCTCAGGCAGGCATCCTCACCAGATTGTTCAACCTTTCCCTGATTCATGCCACTGTTCCCACCTGTCTGAAGGCCTCTACCATCATTTCCATCCACAAAAAGCCTGGTATAGACAATCTCAAAAATGACAGACCTATAGCCCTCATGTCTGTAGTCATGAAGTGTTTCGAGCAGATAGTGTCTCCACCCTTTTGCCTACAGAGCAAATCAGTCCACGGACAATGCCATCAATATCAACCTTAACAGAGCACTGAGCCATCTGGAGAGTATGAAGAGCTACATCAGGATAATCTTTGTGGACTACAGCTCGGTGTTCAACACCATAATCCCAGACATCCTCAGCACCAAACTGGACCACCACCACATCCCACTTGCTTTGTGTTATTCAAAGGTTATTCAGAGGTTATTCAGAGGTTGTATGAAAGTACCAGGTAGTTTAGTGCAGGCAAAACAGTTTGCAGTAGTGTGGTAATATTTAAAGTAATGCACTATGTTGGACTGTTGTAGGCATCTGTGTTGTTCATGGTCACTGTAACAGGCATTTTAAATTTAAACTGATGATTAATTCGGTGAATTTGACCTTTATACTAGATTTATGCTGTCTAGAGTTTGGAAATCAATCATGATAGCTCATGTAACACATGCTTGTATCTTGCTGAATTCAGTTGAAAACAAAAAGAACAATAAAACTTAGAGCAGCACAGGTTAGATGACCACAGGCTGTATACAAAATAATCTGCTGGAGCACACAACAGAAATCACTGTGAATGATTTCTAAGTTACTCCTTGCTGCACCACTACAATTGATCTTAGGTTTCTCACACCTGCTGAATCCCACTTTAACCCATGACTATACTCACTTAATAGGACAGGCATTTGTTAAATTTTGTTTGTTTTTTCTAAGCTTTTTTTCCCCATAATGTTTGTATTCCAATAATATCATTTTATTGGTATATTAACATGACATAAGGTTCTGTTAGCTGTCCTCAGTAATAGCTGGTAGATATGTCCTTCAATAAGCTACTTTTTAAATTGCATTTTTACTGTATTTTGGATATTGCAGAGGCTGTACTTTTTATCAGTACTTTTACAAAACCATCTGCTGAAGTGACAGATGTGCAGTTTTGCCACCTCTGGTGGACCAGTGTTATTCATAAGGAGCTAAGCACCATCATTGTTGTCATATTCTGAGAAAAGCAGTTCTATAGTCTGTGCCATTGTTACCGAGGTTTTTGGTTCTCATATTATTGCTAGCCATGCATAAGCTTCCATAATTGCATTTATTTCTCCATGTTTGTGAGTCCATGAACTCTGAGAGATTGATCTGGCTTGCAAGGTCTGAGTTTTGTGGCTCTTAACTAAACTCCTTTCCAGATTGGGCACAGCCAACTCTACAGCCAATCTTCTTGATGATGTAGAAGGACACCACTGTGGTAAGAAATCATGTGAACCATACAATGCTAATGGGTTTCATGCTATAATGTAGAGGAGTGTTTCCTGACTGATCTAGCTTAAAGGTCAGACCTCAGAGAGAGAGTAATGGTTAAAGCATAAAGCACCCTAACAGTGATTCTGTGTTTTCAATCCTTGCATTAAAACACAAAGATAAGTAACTGAGCCACATTTTAGTTTTAAAGAATTAGTCCTAACCAACTTTGTGGTGGGCATAGTTCCAGTTCAGAAATTCAGAAGAGGACTGGTACAGAACTTAAGCAATGTAATATTTTGGCATATTTGGGTTTGGCGGCAAAATGTGTCTTAGCCAGTTTAAAAAAAGGTTTTAAAAACCTAAATAACTTTCTGACAGGAAACTGAACTTCTGACCACATTAGACATAATTTGTCTTCTTTTCCAAACCCAGCTGTGGGTGGATACTTGCATAAAGGTCACAAAGGAACCAAACTACTCCTTTAATGTGAAAAAGCAAATCTGACACAGGACCTGATGCAACATGTCCTTCGGTACGACCATAATGTGTGGTTCAAATGAAAAACATGTACAGGAGGTAGTCAAGAGAAGGACACAGGAGTATCTTCAGCTGTCTGTAAAACACAGTACAGGCTTTGTCATTGTATTGATTGATTGATTAATGCAGTAAAAGTACCGTCATATTTGGATCCACCATGAAATACCACCTGAAAAGGATAGGATTGGCAGCAGCTTGATTTTTCAGCATGAAATGAAAAATGAGTAGCCAATTTTGTTTTGCCTTTGTTTGGGAACACTGTTGTCCGTCTTACCCTAACCCTACCTAAAATTTGGACTGGTAACTCAGGAGGTAGAGCAGGTCTTCTACTAATCACAGGTTATATATCCTTGGGTAATATACTAGCCTTGAGTTGCTCTTCAGTGCATCCATCGAAGTATAAATGTGTGAGAATGTTAGAGCACTTTTTAAGTTTTTTAGGTGCGCATGTAACTGTTCATTTACTTTTGTGTGTGTCCAGAGGAAGATGGCCAGCCTAGAAGAGCAAACACTCAGGAAGAAACTGAAAAACGCAGTGAGACAATATCATGGTAAGATAATCTTTTGTTATTTTTACAGTTCTTAAATGAGTCTATGTATAGTGGCCACTTTATATATCCTGCATCATGATTAGGGCTGGGCATCGATTTCTATTTCTTTAACTGATTTGATCCAGATTTGATTCAATTTTGACTCCGACAGTCATAAATATTCTAAAAGAATATGGATATGTACAGATAAATGATCAGAATTATATCTATGTATAAAAAACCAAAGCTGATAATGTGAGACTGTAGTAACTGAGGATAAAACACAGAAAAATATAAAGGAGATTTTGCTGGCCTCGCTTATTATGGCAGATAAATATTCTGCAATAGATCAAAATCTGAAGAAAACCATGAATCAACATATGAACATTAACTGCTGCTGCTGAAGTGCTGAAGTTTTATTGGAGACATAGCTAAGCATGTTGCAATTTGGCATAACTTGTAAAAGTTTACATTTCTTCGGTATTGAACAGCAGAAAAAATCAAACAAAAGGAAAACAGCGGCTGACGGCACTGAACACAACAGTAGACTGGTGCGTAATAAGCAAGCGAATAATACAGAAACAGAAATATTTTTTTTTATAGTAAACTGTTCATGAAACACACTGAGAGAGAGCTGTGCACAAAGCGCGATCTTATCATGATGGAAGCAGAGCAGCAAAAGTAAGAGGGAACTAATGACGATGTTTATCAAACATGACGCGTAGTTTTGATCTTCTTTTGCTGCTGGTTCAGTGAATTTTGGTTGGAGAGTGAGGAAACCTGCAGCTTCATGTGAGATGTCAGCTTTCAGCACCCGACGGCAATTCTGCATACATGCCGCCGAGTGTGTTTAGATCTTTGTGCCGAAACCTTTTACTTGCTTTCACGTGCTGTTTTAGCTCTTTGGCGGTTGTGCAAGTAGTTTTGTGAGCTTTAACCTGAGATTTTTAGCATTTCTGGCAAAATGCATTTATATTTAAAATTCGATTCAGGATTTAATGAATCGATATCGCATTATTCAAACTAAAAAAAAATTGAATCGGGTAAATCTTTTTTTTTTGGTTTTGTTTTTTTTAACCCACACCTAATCATGATGGAGAAGATGTTCTGTGACCACATTTCCAGTTGCATGGGGACAAATAAGTGTCATCTGCAGTGGTATCTGCATCCAACTGTCCTGAAAGGTGGGACCTGTGTCCAAAATGACACATGCACAACTGCGTCTTCTCACCCATAATGGGAAACACCAGCACCTCCACAGGAGCATTCAGTCTTTACAAGGACTGCCAAGGATAGAGGTGGATAAAAAAAAGATGCTTCTTCGAAAGGAATATTGTTACGGACTCTCAAGATCAAGGGTGATGTGCAGAGGAGTGGGAGAGAACTACGGGATGGTGATGCAGGACATATGTGGGGAGGTGTGCAATAGGAGTGACATATGGGTTAAAGGTAGGGGTGGTATGTGATGATATTATGATCGGTAGTGGGAGTAAGAAGCAGATGGAAGAGTTCCTGGTAAAATGGAGGTATACACTGGAGAGACTGAATTAAATTAAATACTTCAGATCAACCATGTAAAGTGTCATAGTATGGGCTCAAATTGTGGTCATAAACATTTTGTACTTGTAAATCAGGATTTGTATGTTTAAAAAGAATTTGTGTGTGTGTAAAAAAAGATTTGTGTGTGGACTTAGTCAAAAATATACGTGTGAAACTCTGCAAGTTACAAGTACGAATTTTGACCCTACTTTTCTTCCTTTCATCTGATTGGCCAATGTTATGTCAATCACAAATTTAACTATCCAATCAGAGAACAGGTGGGTGCTTTATGGCGCTTCAGGTCCTTGAAGGGAATAAATGCCCTTTTACATGCCAGCCCAGCGTTTTCCTTCATCACCATGAAAAAAACCAATCTGTGGTGGTCTCAGTTTGGTGATTTTTGTGTCTCAGGTTTACGTGCTTAATACAGGGACCTCCAGAGCCTTTTCAACAGCGCTGTGGACCGCGGGGGTGGGGGGGCAGTGTTTTGGAAATGACAGTCTTCACTAGTGGGGATAGTTACAAAGCTTTCTTCGTGAGCATACATGTTTTTATTGAACATTTGAAGAACTAGCAAAAAAACCCAGAAACTCTTGTAGAGGACATAAAGTCTGAGATAGAAACGACAAGGAGCAGGTGCATCTAGTACAGGTAGAGCTGCTGCAAAAACCCACAGAGCTCAGCAGCCAGCACAACAAATTCTGGATCCTTGGCACATCCTGCATCCGATGTGAAAGGACCTTTATGCTGCGCACTGTGACTCACAGCAAAGCCCTGACTTTGTGTTAAACTAATCCTAAAGTAATAATGGTATTTCTAACCCCTGATATACCACAACTTTATCCGTTCAACAGCTGCTGAAAGTTACGGGACCTAGCTTCTATCGGATATTTATATAGAGAGCCTCCAGCTTCAAACTGTATTACCCTTCAAGGACCTGCGCCCCTCCGACAGACAAACCCATCTGTTCTCTGGTTGGATAGTTAAATTTGTGATTGACATGACATTGACTAATCAGATGAAAGGAAGAAAAATAGGGTCAAAATTCGTACTTGTAACTTGAAACTTGAGTGCGAGAGTTTCACAGGCATTTTTTGGCCACACACAAATCTTTTTTACGCACACACAAATTATTTTTACACATACAAATCCTGATTTACAAATACAAAACTGATTTACAAGTACAAAATATTTATGACCCCAATTTGAGCCCATATTGGATATCATAGAGTCCAAAAGAGGGGTGAAGAGAAGAATGCAGTGTGGCGTGGGTAGGCATAAGCATCAGAGGTGACTTGTAACAAAAGGATAGCAGTGCCGAGAAAGGGACCTGCTATGGTGTATGTTTCTGAAATGTTGACACGAACAAAAAGGAGGCTGGGCGGGAGGTGGCAGAGCTGAAAACATTTTAATATTTTCATTGGGAGTGATGAGAAATTAGAAAATGATTATGTCAAAGAAACCACTCAGGTTTATTGGAGACAGAGCGATGATAGAAATATTGGATAAAAGATATTGAATGTGATCTTCTGTGATCACTTGGACTTTTCAAAAGCTTCTTTATAAAAAGAAAGAAAAAAAGGCACAGATTTTGTTTTTGTATAAAATCATAATCATCTAGACTCTTTGCTTTTCAGATCCTCCCGTGCTGCTCCATATTGATTTCCAAGGTGACTACAGCATCACCCATGGGCAGTGGTTTTCTAGCTCGTGTTGTTCCTACTTGCTCCTGTCCAAATCATTTGAAGAGTTAAGACACCCCTGCCCACCCCTGAAAGAGGAATCAGACTGTTCCCAGCCACTGGGCAAAAACTTTGTAAATGCATAATCTCTGTGTTCTAACATTTTATTGATATATCATTTTGAACATAAAGGAACACACGTTATTCCTTACAGTATTTGTTGATGACTTCTTTTAATCCACTGTGGAGGAATACTAGCATAGTGAAGCTCTTTCCATACAAACCCTTCTCCAGTCCTGTACTACAGCATACTAGGCATTTCAAATCCAAAGTGTGAACATGCATCTTTATATACACTAAACCATGTAGGGCTTTTTTTTTTTTTACCTCGTTTTGTCAAGCATTGTAATATTTAGCTTTTTATGTAACTGAATTTTTTTGGTGTACAAATATTGTGGTTGTCTGTGGCTGCCTAAATGTCAAAATGTCACCATGGACAAAATAACCATTAGGCTGTGTTTTTAAAGAATGGTGTTCTGGGAAATAAGGGTGTTCCAGGGTATGGAGCAGTTTACTATTTTATTATTTTTTTGTTTGTTTGTTTGGCAAGGTGAAATTTTTCAGTTTGCGTTGTTGTCTATTTCAGTAGTACTGTAGGCACTGTGCTGTTCGAACATTAACCCAGGGTGACCAACTAGAAGCTGTCAAGCCAGGGAAAACATCAGCATCTTATTAGGCTTCATAAGGTTAACTGGTACACAAAGTCCTTCACATACATTATTGTCTAACCCAGTCTGAATGCAAATTTGGAGCTTTTAGGCTATGGCCATTTAAAGGTGAAATGACAGGAATGACTAAATTTGAATAAAATCTTCACAGTCACCCCTCCCCATTGAGTTTGGGCCTTGAGTTTGGCATTTGTCATTGTTGCCATCTTGTTTTATTTTATTTTTAATACATGATCGAAACCCAACAGTGGAGATGGGAAGTTATCAGCTAATACTACCTAGTTTAGTTGGCGAGGTACGTCCATTATTCACTTCGATGTCAATTGGGATAGCAATTATTGCTAGTGAAAATAACAAGATGTACTCAAAGGAAAAACTGAACACTGAACAAGACATTTTTGTAAAACTTGTGTATAGCAGCAAATGACTGACTGCCTGGAAGGTAGGACCAACAACCAATATGTTGAAATGTTGTTAAGTTGATGAAGGTTCTCATCTTGTTCACGGCTTCACCTTGGTAGCTTGAACCCGACGCACATTCCACCCTTATCGTGTGAAGCCTGTTACTGGTAGGTGACAGAAGAGTCAGGTCCTAATTAGGTGCCAGGTTTCCAAAAATCTTCATGCAGATCATTTTTTGTCTTTATTTCCTGAAGGAAAGCATATTTACAAGTGATGGTTCTATAAACAATGAGATGGTTGTGGGTTTGTGAAATCTGGTGGCTGAACAAAATGACAACAGAAAAAAATGTTTGTGGGATTTTCATCTTCATCTTTCTACTGTTTTTATTTGCACATGTAGCTGTGAACCTATTGTGGATTGTTAATTGTAATGTTGGGAAGAACAAAAGAAATCAAACAATATGTAACTGCTTTAATTTAACAAATGGGTTTAACAAAAGTATTGCAAAAAGTTTGATGACCAGGTGATGCCTGTTCTCATATCATTGCATGATAAAGTAATCCGATAAAAGATTCAGCTATGATTCCAAGGGTTGAACTTATATTTGGCATCTTTTCCCCTGAATTCTCAATATGAGGTCCAGAGATCTTGATGCGCAGGAAGCAGACCATAATTTGGCTTAAAAACCAACTTAAATCTATCAGAGCAAGCAAGAACTTTGGTAGCGACCATATCAGAGATGTGGTACATTCCTAAAAAGCAGGAATGCACTGGCAAATGCTCACTGGCCACAGAAGACAACTAAAGTGGATGCTTGTTGTGTACTCTTTCCTTGATTTAGAAAAACACAACATCTAGCCATCTGCCTATGATTGTCATTCTCTGCAATCAAGAGATTACTTCACGATTGTGAATAGAGGTTTACAACAAGGTCCAAATACTGGTTACACTCAAGAACAGGGAGTTCAAAATTGAAAAAGCCAGAAAACCTCTTGGGGAGCCCGATGAGTTCTGGGGGAAAAAAAGAATCCTTTCCTTTGGAAGATGAAATCAAGATGAACTTGTACTAGAATGATGGGAAAAGGAAATTGAGAAGGTGACTGCAGTGAATGCTGATAAAAACAGTATAATGAATTCTGAAGTGTGTGGCTATGATGTCTTCTCAGGTTCAAACAAATACTGCAAAATTGATTGAATAATACATTTAGCCAACTTGATCACATATTCTCATCTTGACATAGCATGCTTTTTACCCCTAAATGGTAAAAGGTATTGTCATCACCCCGCCGGGCAGGAAGGTAGGTGGGCCTTGAAGTTTGTGAATTTAATATAGGTGCTTCAAGTTGATACCCTTGGTACATCTTCTAAAAATCTTGGACAAATTTTAATCTCAATGACGTCGACCTCAAGGTTAAAGGTCAAGATTTCTGACAGTATTGCAATGCAATAACGTGAGAAAGAAGTCACCTAGGGTTCTCAAATTGATGCCATAGATGCATCTAACAAAAATCTCAGCTGACTTTGAGAAACCATAAAACTTCCAAGGAAGTAATTGCAGCATTTAGTGATATCTGTAGATTCTAGACTTGGGGTTGTCATGCGCTGCAAAGGTCATCTAATTTTTGAAAACACATTTAAAGTTATGTTAGCTTCTTTAATTATTTATGAGATTCTGTAAATTTGGGACTGTATATAAACTTTTTTGTGATAACTAGACAGTCAATGCGGTAATTCTCTTAATCCTTAAGTCCCATACCTATGGACCTACTTGTATGAGTGAACTAACAGTACAAGGCAAGTAAATTGCAGCTTGATAAATAAACCATTCTGGATTTGTCTGCCCTACTGGATTATTTGATGATGAGTAAACTTTACTTGTCAGTGATGTCAAATACGTAATTTCTCAAAGGACCATTGCAGTGTTAAATGCATGTTCTGGCCAATTACTTTGCAAAGGTTAATTTTGAAGTTCGGTTCGTCAGTGTCTCATCAATATTGACCTCACTAGTTTTGTCTTTTTCAAGAAACTACCTGATGTGTCACAAGTAGCAGATAGATAAAGATTGGCTGGTAAACCTAGTGCAGCATTTGGCCTCTAAAATTGCAGATTTTGGTTTGTTTTGTTTGTTTTTTAAAAGAAATCAAAAACTCAAGAATTCATGGTGCCTTACAGGAAGTTTTCAGACCATATTGAACATAACTTAACATGGATGTAACAGAAGAATTTAAGTTATGGATGTCTGTCTACACATCACAGCATACAGAACCTGTGGTAATCCTTTCCATGGTCACTGATGTCAATGGGTCTATCTTTAGAACTGTGTTTGGACAAAAGAATTTTGTGTTCCTGGTGAAAGAAATGCTAGAAAAAATGTTGATTTTAATGTTTGTTTGTTTTTTGCACCAGGGCAAAACACAAAAACAAAAACAGCTTTAACAGAAAGAAACATGCCAAACACTGTGCTGGTCCTTTAAGAGATCAGGCTATGTTGTTGTGTAGTAAAGTCAGCAATTTAAAGTATCGATGTTAGGACATATGGTGTATTTTCAAGGGACAAATTCCAGATGAGAATCAGGTGAAATGTTAGATGAGGTTTTCTGTAGTCCTTGTTTTGTTTCTCATATAGATTATGTTACTGTAAAATGCAGGTCAAACTGTCAAATTTGAATATTTGACAGTTTGATTCTGAAACTTGGTTTCCATGTCGGACCTAGAAGAATAAACAAAAGCTTTAATCAGTTTTGTAAAGAGGCAGAAAGCCTGAATGGGCTTTTTGTTTGACCTTTCACCCACTTCCTAAAAGCACGTAGGAAATGCATTCAAAATCCTGTTGGCTGATTAAATGTAGCATAATGTGCACAACAGGAATAATAACAGCAGCATAATGTCCTACAGGGTAGTTGAAGGCAATGCTTGTCTATCTGATTTATATAGGATGGTTGGTTGTTGTTTAAGGATACTTTGTGTTCTCCTCCTCAGGGAAGTCTAACACTAGATATCTTAACAAACAGAAGCACAAAAATCTCATATTTCACCGAAGCAACAATGGATTGCCCATTTGAAACAGACCAGAAATACTTTTCTTTTTCATTTGAACTTTATGAAACAGCCATTTAGCAATAGCAAATCAGGTTTTCTGATTTCAGACTTTTTTTCTGTAATGTTTGTACTGCTATACTCAATACTTAGTCTTCCAAAACACCGAATCCAAAGGATATGTTTTTGTTTATTTTTTGTTTTTAGAACCAAACAAACATAAACATCCCATAAAAAACCTTATATTTACTACGTCCATTTTTTTAAAAATCAGGTAAAAGATTAAAAGTGGAAATACAATATAATTACAGTTGTAACTGAATTGTGTTATAATTAACTAATTTAAAGCAACATTTTTCACTTTAATGTTGGATGTTGAAAATGGTTCAAAATTTGCAGATCAAATCTAAATGTTATCAATTTGATTTATTTTAGTGTATATTAACAACATTAGCGTTCCATTAAAATAAGGCAGATACAAGGAAATTTTCTAACATGTATTTTTGTGGAATATACTAACTAGTAGACTAAGAGCTGAGAAATCCTTTTTACATACCTACATGTTCAGCTGCATCAGTCATATTAGATAGCCAGAAAAAAAACAACAAGTTTGATACTGGTGAGTTGTTTACAGTGCATATGGGCTTATGAACGCACCTGTAAGACTATACAGAGAGAGCAAGAAACATACAACATGTTGAACACTTTTAAGTAGGTAAAATTTACTGAGTCCCATGTTCTTTAAAATGCGAAACAGAAAACTGTCTATTGTTTGATTTCAAATTCTTTTGTTTTTGCACATACACCACACCCTCGTGCTTGTAAGAATGCATTTGGATCTTATATTAGCCAGTCTTGGACTTGCCAACTCGCTAGTACAAAGTCCATGTGAAGTGGATTGTGCCATTGTGTGAATACTGTAGGTAATATTCTAGTGCAATCATTGCTAGAGTATCTCCAGCAGGGTAAAAGCAGGTTATTTACAAATGCATACTAAATGTATACATGTATATGCCCATGTGTATATATGAGAAAGGACAACTGAACATCCCAAACTAATTCTGCTCTCTGAAATTTATGTGTGAATACAGCTACAACTAGTAACTTTACAATTTGGCTCAATTGCTTGGCGTCTGAAGAAGGTGGGAATTAGAGAATTTGTTTCTTCCTCATTTTGTGATGGTTATGTAATTTTTTTCTACCCTGATTTGTCTGTAAACTGTATTTGTGAATACATTAACACAACCAATAAAGATTTTTTTTCTATAAAGTAACATTTTGTGTTGCCAGTATACTTTAGGTCATCGCTATCCTGAAAGACGAACTAATACCCCATTTTCAAGTCTAACCAGTTTCTCAGAGGACTGTTTGTAGCATTCATCTTTCCGTCATTCTGGCCACTCACCACATCACTGATGGCCAGAACCAGCTTCAAAACATAATGTTGCCACCACAACGTGAAGGATTGCCATGGAGTTCAATGGAGTACCTGTAATTCAGCTCAAAAACATGAACATTTGATCTCATATCTTAAAATATTTTTTCTCTTACTCTTTTAGTTTTAAAAACATTTGGATTAGCTTCAAACAGGCTGTAGCTGATGAGATGGCTCCTCTTGTGGCAGGTTTTTCTGTCCTTGCAGAAGTTTTGTTATGTTCTTGGTCACCGTCTTGACTATGGCCCTTCTTGCTCAGTTACTCAGTTCTAAAATTGGTAAACACTATGAAGATACTCCGTGGTCACATTTATCTTCAATTACAGTTTCTGACACCAGGGAACACTGAAAACGTCATGAAGGTTATTTAAATGTTCCTTGATGTATATACCTAACCTCACTTGGGTTGTGGAAGTCTACAGTTTCATCGATTTGCGTTCTCAAAGCTAAAAATTAATTTGCTTATCTAACATGTCAAAGAAGTGAATGTGTCTGAATAATATGATCCAACTTTAGTAAGTAAACCAATTTTTGAGTAAATTCAAACAAATAGTAATCTAGGAATATTTTATTAGGTCTATAAGTAGAAGAAGCCAAAGGGTAGTTGATGATTCTAAATTGGCTGTAGGTGTGGATGTGGCTGTGAATGGTTGGGATTCTTGGAGAACAATGGGCTGGGTGGTCAGTTCCTTAAACTAAGGAGCTATGCAAATGTACTGTTTATAAGATTGACCTGCAGTCAGCTGAGACTAAAGAAGTCACTTGGGTGAGTGACGAAACGTTTCTCCCACGAAACGCTACGTCCAGATGAACAGAATCAACTTTTGGACACTTAAGAGCCGATGGCGCGATATGGCAGCCTCGCTTCTGTCCGTCTGCCCCAGGGCAGCTGTGGCTACAACTGTAGCTTGCCTCCACCAGTGTGTTAATGTGTGTGTGAATGGGTGGATGACTGGGTTTGTAAAGCGCTTCGGGGTCCCTAGGGGGGACTAGTAAAAGCGCTATACAAATACAGGCCATTTACCATTTAATCATTAGTTATTATTAATCTCTGGCTCTCTTCTACAGGATGTCTTGTCCTGTTTTTCTCCTCTCACCCCCAACCAGTCATGGCAGATGGCTGCTCCTTCCTGGGCCTGGTTCTGACTGAAGTTTATTCCTATTAAAAGGGAGTATTTCCTTCCCACTGCCACCAAGAGCTTGCTAATCCCTATTAGCAAGCGATAAGATATTTTTCTTGAGGCAACTGTTGTTGGGAATTGGTGCTAAATAAATAAAACCGAAATGAATTGAAAACAATATTGTAATTTTTAAAGATATACTGGTAAACTGAGTAGCTGTCTGTGAGTGGCGTCAATTGTGACATAAACATGAAAAAAGTGTTCCATCAGATGGTTACGGATGCGCCATTTTGTTAGTTGCCGACAACGTCAAATGACTGGATGCGCAGGACACGTCAGACAAAAAGGGGTATTGGGGGGGGCTAAATTGCCATGGCAACTGTGCTGACGTAGAATGAAACCCCTCCCACGGTGTTATTCAGCCTTTGTACCGTTCAGTTGGCAGCCATTGTATTTTTACGGATCGTAAGAAATCTAAAGCGTAGCGAGTCATATAGTTTTTAACGCGACGTGTTAAAACACTACATTACAGATTCAAAGATAACGTCTACTGCCGAAGTACTCAAGTAAAAAGACGCGCCAAACGAAGATTGTATTTTCCACCCCAGACGTGAAGCTTGGCGGAGGGATTTAACCGAATTTAGCATACGTCTTTAACGAAAAATTCGCCGTATAAATCCGCACCCAGATTTCTGTCAAACATCTTTGTTTCATAGTGCGTGTCCGACATTTTCTTAGGTCTGTGCCCTTATTTAGATGGCAAGCTTCCCAGACTCTGTGAACGAAAATGATATAGGTAAGTAAAACATTTTACATGTATTGTTTTTGTGAATGCAGGTGAGAACGTTGAATGATGTCCTGGTATTTTAGTCTTAGTGCTTTTTATCTAATGCCAAACTGTAAAACTTTTTTTGTTTCCACCAGACTATGTGGACTTTCAAAACATTGTTACTAAATAAGATGTCGAATTAGTGGCTACTTAGCTTAAACCGGTAAAGAAAAGTTTAATTAAGTTAAGAGATGTCGTTTATTTGTCAGTGTTTCTTGGGTTTATATACGTATGTATCCCTGCTGTTATATTAGCTCAGTGCGGTTGGTTATTTTGATGCATATCCAGGATAAAAACCATTTTATACGTTAGTGCAGCGTTTCCCTGTTGCTGGTTTGCTGATACAAACACTGGCCGAGAGCCATTCTTCCTACAACAGCGAGAACCATAGCCGCCCAGGGATGTACGTGCGTGCTTGCACGCCAACGTTGCATGGCTAATAAACCGAGCTCGTAGCTTTAGCATGTTAACTGTATTACTTTTATTTATTGCTTATTTATTAGCTATAACCGTAGTTAGGTACTAAACGTCTTATTTAATCCTAAAATCAGAATTGATCAACGTCAGCCCCATGTAGGCCTTTAGTGGTTTACTTAATGCACGTATCTTCACACATTCTTGCACACAAAAAGACAGCCTTCATAACTGTATAGACGTTGTCGGAGATATATTTATCTACTCACTCATGTACACAATGCAGTATTTGTTTTATTGCTGCTGTTATTTTACTTGTTGCAAAAATGTGTTGACATTAACTTATATATTGGTCTTACCAAGTAACCCCGATATATATACAGACCTGAACACAAAGCACAAAGATTCCATTTTGTGCGCTATGTGAAGAATGCAGTTATGAAACTGCCAGTATGTTGTGTATCCGGAATTTAAGACTTAAGTTAACCAAAGGTTACTTTGCCACGTAGACTTTGATATCCTGTAGAAATGGACTTGAAAAAAGTACATTTCCAAACGTAAAAAGTTAATAGTGGATCTGCAGAGGTTAATTGTAGACAGTTCATATATCAGCGTATAGCCCATTATAGCTGAGAGAATATAACTATGTCTCTCCCCCCCTCCCCCGTTGTACAATGGTATGGTTTGCACATTAGCCAATCAGGTATCTGCACCAGTGAACAAACTGTGTCTGTGCCAGATAAAGAAGTTAGTTTCATGTGCATTATTTGGGCTGAAAAATGAGGCACATTCAGTTTGTTACAGAATGTAGCTGAAAAAAAGTTATGTTATTGCTTTTTCCAGGTAAGGCAAAGTTCATTGGCGAACTCCTGGTGCCTGTTGCTCCCTTTGACCAGAAGTCTGGGCGTGAAGCTTGGACAGTGGCCTTTGCACCCAATGGTTCCTACTTTGCTTGGTCTCAGGGGCATCGCATTGTCAGGCTTATCCCTTGGACAAAATGCCTGAACAGCTTGTAAGTTTCTTTTGGTTTTTTTCCCTTCTTGTCTTTTTCTCTTTATTTTCTTAAAGCACCAAGCACTTTTTATATCACTATCATAACTACCTTGGTAGTATGTTTGTGTGTTTTTTATAGTAATGGAGTACATGTTTTCTGTGTTGTTGTTTTGCTTCTTAGATAAACCCCCAACTAATTATAAAAATCTTCAAATTTATGGAAAAAAAATGAGACACTGAGGCTTTTAGGATAATTAATTTAATTATTTTTTGATTGGATTACAATTAAATTTTTGTGCTATCTCATACAACAGAGCATTTACCATTGCTGGGGCTGCTTTTGGGGGGCGCATGATTTAATTTTGACATTCATACAGAAGCAGCAGGAATGAGAATCAGCACCTCCAAGTCTGAGGCCATGGTCCTCAGCCAGAAAAGAGTGGATTGCCCACTCTGGGTCAGGGATAAGTTGCTGCCCCAAGTGGAGGAGTTCAAGTATCTCATGGTCTTATTCGAGAGGGGAGGGATAGATCAACAGACAGATTGCGGCTTCGGCTACAGTGATGCGGACGCTGTACTGTCCGTTGTACATTGCATATACAAGTGATGGAAATGAGCTTTATCCGAAGGGTGGCTGGCATCTCTTTTAGAGATGGGGTGAGGAGCTCAGCCATGCAGGAGGGGCTCACAGTTACAGCTGCTCCTCCTCCATGTTGAAAACTGCTTTTAGGTAACAAATGGCTGGTATTGTGGAAATGTGCAAATTCTTGAGATTAACAGCCAGCTGAATTTGGTCATTAGTATTACATTGGTGCATGAGCTGCTGTTCTGTGTTGCAGGATGGAGAGCAGAATAAGTTTTACATGATTACATACACGTAAAACTCTGCATGCTTTCTAGCTGTTTAATTGTCTTCTGAATCAGTCTCTGCCAACCTCAAGCTAAAAGATCAGATGTATTTGTCAGTGCCAAGAACACGTGGTTTGAATTACCAGCTCACTCTCTGCTTAATGGTGTGTTTTTCCGCTTACCAGGGTCTTGTGACTCTGAGCCACATGTTGAAGTTATCTTTAGAAAGAAGTGCCTGTTGTTCCTGGCCATCAGGGCTGTGGCTGGTTGGGCCCCAGTGACATTAAAGGAAAAGAAGGACAGCAGCCTCTGTGTGACAATGGTGTGATAACACTTGATTTTCTGTCTGGAACTGATTGTAAGTAGGCAGTCACCCAGAGGTTGAGGGTGCTGCACACTGAATTACTGTGCAACTACTTGCAATTTCAATTGCAAGGCAATTGTACAGGTTGCCTGATAAGAGGCAACCCGTTGCCAGCTAATCTTAGTTGGACTTGTACAGACTGCAGACAATCTTGGACAGATTGGCAAATGTTTGCAAATAATTGCTGGCAAATGTATACATGAAGACAGATTGCAGTGCATTGGCATTTAGAGTTGGTCTGTACCATCAAATAATAAAATGCACAAATG